CAGGAGCCCGCCCCGCTCCCCACCCCGATCCCAAATCCTGGCAGCACTGCCAGCTTACCAAACTCTTTTGAAAGTGGCTGGCCAACTTATTAATTCACAAAAGTTCTTCACACATAGACCCGAGGTCAAACTCTCGTAGAAAACTTAGTTTTTCATGGCAAAGCGAGTGTGGAGACGGGGTCTCACCAAGCGCAGCTGTCTCCCGTTCCCAGCCATCGCTACTGTCACTTTGAATGGTCATGCAATAGTGCTGCGTTCAGAAAGTCATCGGCCAGTCAGCGCGCACGCCACGCCCCTGTCAACGGGTAAACTTATCACCCCAACTTAACTTTATACCACTTTGACTTTATACCACATAATATTCTAATAATAATAATAATAAATATCATTATTATTATAGTTTAATAATAATTATATAATAATGATTATAATAATAATGTTGGTAATGATTGTGATGATTATAATTATTTTAAATAATAATAATTATAATAATTATTATTATTATATACTTGTACAGGCGGTGTTCCAAGAGTGTTGAGATTTCTTATAACAGAATTTGGACGTTTCACTGATTGTATCACTCCGCGTTCTATTCAAGCAGTCAGTCAGTTGATGCGTTGTTTGGCACTTTGATTCTGCTTTGGAAATATTTTCGTTAGCGGAGTAAAAATGATCAAAATAACTGGCCATATTGTGTCTAAAGTATGAGTTTCTTATTGTTAAATTCTTCTATATATAACCGTTTTACAATTGCTTAACATAGCCTAATAATAAATTCACCTGCCGCCAAATTACAGTTGTGCAGATGCTCAGTTGCAATTTATTATTTTCCACTGCAAATACAGATAGGCTCAGTGCTTAATTTGTAAATGAATAATTGCCGGATCCAAAACAGCAATTAAAACATTGAACTGTGACTGACATTGAAAATACAACTTAAGTTTTCCCGGAATATTCAATGATGTCACTAAACTAAGAGAGCATCGTTCACAAGTTTCTGCATTAACCTAACTAGGGCACAGCTTCAAACCCTGGATCAAAAATGAGTTGCCAGGATGATTTTAGGAAAATGCATATCTAAGATACATTAAAAATAACAAAATTTGTTTTCATAAAAATAAAATTCAATCATAGTATAAGTATAAATATGCAAAAAAAAATATCTAAGTTAAATAAGTAACAGTTTTAATTAAACGCGCATCCTTGCGTTATTTTACAAAATCACAAATGTTCTGTTGTTATTTTGAGTGTGCAAAAATAAAAGGAAACACGTTGTGCTTTCGAATTATGTCTTACTCTTATCTGTATGACCAACAATGATGTATTTTATGTTTCAGCTGTTCGATCGCGCCGGAGCCTCGCGCGCTCACACACACAAACACACACACACACACACACACACACACCACATATTCGCAACTC